ACGATCACACTATACGAACTGATGATGAGATTGTTCAGGCCCAAACCCGCAGTGGAAGAGTCATACGAGCCCCTAAGAGACTGGACATATAGCTTAGCCACCCCTCCCAGGACATTGTTGAGTTACTGTTTTTATATTGTATTATAGTATGTCTTGTTCGTCGAAAAACACGTGTTATCGCAAGTCAAAGGTTTGTTTGTAGTCTATTTCGAGTCGTCCACCGAGAGTAAGCGAGTGAATCTTTCATTGATGCGTGGAAATAAAGCCAATACATGTTGAACTGAACAGAGATGTTCGTTTCCATCGAGACTAAACAGGTCAACAGATAGCTTCACACGACGTCGACTTGTTGGTATAGGTTGTTATTTCAGTGGCTCTGGTCTATGGAGTTTACTGGAAAATTTGCCAATCCTCTTCAAGTTCGGATCAATGCCTGGCCAATACATGGAATCACGGCCATTGCAGCTGGTTTCATCGATGCAGTCTTGTCCTTCATGCAAAATCAATACTATCTCATTTTGAAGAGACGATGGGATAAAAGTCCCTTCATTCAGATAGATTCAGACCTACCATTTACCACTAAATGTTGTGACGGATTGGCCAGAAGAGTTTAGCCGCGGTTTTTGTCATCCACAGCGGTAATACTCTTTAATTAACTTGAGAGAGCTAAAGATCTTTCCACTGAGTTTTAAAAATCTCATGAAGTTGCAGGTCTTCAATTGACTCATCAACAATTTATCGTATTAGATCTTTACGACCACTTCAATATGAACATTATATAAGTCGTCATCAAATGGTGGCTCATCCACAGGAAAACGAGAAAGAGGATGCGTAGTTCGCGAAATCAGTGGATAGGAATAACAAATTCATCAATCTGTTTCAGGAGGTTCTGAATGGGTATGCTGGAATGCCAGCTATTGACTAAATTGTTGGAGGTTCGTCAGCTATCAGCTATCAGTTAAACTTAATCCAGACCCTCTCACTCACAGGTTCCGACTAGTCTGCAAAAAGAAAGCTTGTTGCACTAGCTTGGAAATACAGTTCGTCAATGAAGTATTCAACAAACAAGCCCTTTTCCCGGAGTTTGAGTTGAAAAAAAGGGACTTCAGTGCCATTAAAAAGTTATGTAATAAATATGTCATTTGTTTTTCTACTTTTTTGA